CAGTAGAAATCGTCGTCACAGTAGCAGGGGCCGGTGGGCTCAAGGGGTGTTGGTGCTGGGGGTGCTAGTTTAGGGGGTGTTACTCCTACTGGTGCTGGTCCTGGAGATGCTGTCTCGGCGAGTACCGGCAGTAGCTAGAGTAGGGCTGGCGGTCTTTGTATCTGCACAAAGCAGTAGTAGCAGTAGCACCAACAATAGCAGCAGCCGCAACAGCAGTAGTAGTCAGTATCCGCCCTTCGCCTCCTCGGTCTTCCCTCCGCCTCCCCCGACCGACCACCCGCGCCTCCCCTGGCGTCGCCTTCTCCCCCGGTCTACGGTCTAGTGTTCCCTTCGCCGGACTCGTCTCCGGCTCATTTCCCTCCTCGTTCTCCTCCTATGTCTCCTCCTTTGTCTCCTGACCCGACGCCTCCCTCCCACTTCTGGTCTCACCGTCCCTCTCGTGCTCGCCTCGTCTCTCCCGTTCCGAGTGTCCACCCTATGTTTCTTCATTCTCATGCTTTTCGTGCTTGTCTTGCTCCTGTTCTCCTGTTGCCTCCTCAGACGTCCCTCTCTGTCTCCTTGCCTCCACTCTCTGACCTCCTACATGCTGCTAGCCCTCTTGTTCCTCGTGTCCTTGCCTCTCTCGTTGCCGACCCGTCCGATCCTGTCTCCAGTCTCTCGGCGCTTGTCGCTGCCAATGCTGATTTGCCTCTACCTGCCACCTTGACTACGCCGCTGCTCTGGTCTCCGACCCTGCCCGTCGTCCGTCCGTCGGGGGTTCACCTGCCCTTGGCAGCGACGTCCAAGAGGATAGTCAGTACGAGCTAGCTTTCTTTGCGGAGGCCGCTCCTCATCTCTTCTCCATGCTGCTAGCACCTGAGGGTGACCCAAATGCTCTTGATATCCCAACCCTTCGCACCTTCACTTAGGCGACTACGGAACCCTGACCCTCGTAGTGGATAGCTGCCATGGACGCAGAGATGACATCTTTGAGATCCACCAGCACCTATGTCGACGCAGTTCTCCCACCTGTGGCGAACGTAGTCGATGGCCGGTGGCTCTTCAAAGTGAAGCGCCCTCCTATAGAGCCGCTGGTGTTTAAGGCGTGCTATGTGGCTAGAGGCTTCAGCCAGTACGAGGGGGTGGACTTCTTCCAGACCTTCGCCCCTACCCCGAAGATGACCACTCTTAGGGCGCTACTTTACGTAACAGCACAACGAGACTACGAGCTCCACTCACTTGACTTCTCCACTGCGTTCCTCTAGGGCTGCCTGCACGAGCAGATCTACCTGCGCCGTCCGTCAGGCTTCACTGGCTCTTTCCCTCCTAGCACCGAGTGGTTCCTCCGGCGCCCGGTCTATGGTCTGCGGCAGGCGCCCCGTGAGTGGCACGACATGCTGCGTGCTACACTAGCGAACCTCCAGTTCCTTCCATCCTTTGCTGACCCGTTGCTCTTCGTTCGCTCTGGCCAGACTCCGCTCTACATCCTAGTCTACGTAGACGATATGGGCTTCGCAACTGCTGACAGAGATGCGCTGGCCCCAGTGAAGGCCGAGCTACTGAGAAGTCACACCTGCACTGACCTAGGAGAGTTGTGCCGTTACCTCAGGCTGCAAATCTCCAGGGACAGAGCAGCGCGTACCATTACTCTCTCATAGACACACTTCGTTCGCGAGGTCCTTTCAGAGGTTCGGCCTTCGCTTCTCCTCCGTACAGCACCCCCCACTCCCTGTCAATCACAGGCTCTCTGTTCCAGTCCCTGACGAGCCGGTCGAGCCTAGTGGTTAGTTTGCAGAGCTCGTGGGCTGCCTCTTATACCTCATGACTTGCACTCGTCCAGATCTTGCATACCCTCTTAGTATCCTCGCACACTTTATTGCGACAGTTAGACACCGACCTCAGCACTTGTCGGCTGCCAAGAGGGTGTTGCGATATCTGGCGAGTACAGCAGGCATCAGGCCAGTGGCTCTCACATGACACATAGACGCTTCGTGGGCGGACGACGCTGAGACGCTCAGGTCCCCCCAAAGCTAGTGCTTTAGCCTTGGTGCAGGCGCTATCTCGTGGAGGTCCACCCGCTTGTCATCTGTTGCACAGTCCAGCTGTGAGGCTGAGATCTACGCTGCTGCCATGGCGGCACAAGAGCTCCGCTGGCTGACGTTATTGCTCACTGGCGTTCTTGCTCAGTGACTTAGGTGAGCAGCCTAGCTCTGCCCCGGTCCTGTATGCTGATAACTGGGCCATGAACCTCCTGTGTCAGAAGGAGCTCGACTACAGGGCATAGCAAAGCACATCCAGCTGCGGTACTTCCTCCTGCGCGAGCTACATCAGCGCGGCCAGGCACGCTTAGTACACTTGGCCTATGGTGCCAACACAACTGATATCTTTACCAAGGCGCTTGCGCATGGAGATCATCATCAGCACTGTTTACAGCTTGGTCTAGTTCCAATAGCTCCTCACTTGTTAGGACCTTGATTTGTGTACTCCTTATTATATTATCTTGACTGGCCTTGTGACTCCTATCTCAGAGGCTGGACTAGTACTGCCGCCCTGAGTTACCCTTGTTGAGTTAGTACTCTTCAAGCCCTCAAATTGGTTTTGGGGGTGTCTGATTCGTCAGACTTGCCTGCCCCTCCTTGGTATGGCTGTCAGAGTCGGCCCTAAAAAAAAGTCTGAAAAATCCGAGTCACCTTTTTTTCAACATTGAATTTAAAGCCTTTGTCATGTCTATGATAATGAATGTCATGCGCTCAGACTTCTTGGGCATGGCATGCTAAGGGCGTTCTTCGTGCACTAGCTATCTGTCGCACGAACTGTGGCGAAGGCGCACAGTCGCGCCACCCAAGACACAGTTGCATGTGCCAGCTGGCGACGTGACGGGGTGGAGTGGCTCGTAACGAATTGCATGTGCAGGACAAATTTGGGGGAGGAATGGATTTGGTGGCGGGCAAATCAAAGAGGTTGAGAATCTCGCGAAGGGCCAATGAGCACCCTCGCACACACATGCCGCGACACACATCGGCAAATGTTTTTTGGTGAAGGGCCAATCGGCCCCTCATGTTAAATGATATATTTTTATATAATTGTAGGCTTGGTAGTTGTGCTACTTACTAAATCCTACCGTAGAGGGGACTACCCCCCTTCTTGTATCTCCTTCTCTTCTATTCCAACCCTCTTCTCTCTCGTCAATTTCTCCTACCCTAAAAACTCACGCCATTCCATGGCTTCCCTAGCTACCTAACTATGTTTGACACGGTTTCAGAGTAGGTCCGTCTGCTCGGGCTTGCTCATCACGCTTCTGCAAATTCCGCTCCTCGCTCCTATCCTTTTCACGCCGCCGCCACGGCCATGTCGTGCTGCCGTGAGGGCGCCGTCATGCTGCAGCGATGGTCTCGATGCTTCTGCCGTGGCAGCCTCGTCGCGCTGTCGTGGCGTCGACGTCCAGCTGTGGCGGCATCGTTGTGCTGTCGCGGCGGCGTCGACGCACCAGCGCACAAGCGGCAGCGGGCTGCACACTGTGTTAGCCGCATCCAGCCCGCCCGCACGCCAGTAAGCACCGGGCCAGCCATGGCGCCGCGCTGACGATCGGGAGACGAGCCCACGGCTGCTGTTGTTGCTGCTGCGGCTGCTGCTGCTGCTTTGACGGCTGCTGCTGTTGCGGCGGCTGTGACTGCGGCGACTGCTGCTGCTCCTGCGCACCAGCACCAACCACCTTGTCTGAACCACTGTCCCCGCCACCACCACCACTAGCGCCACCTCCATGTCCTCCCTTGGGGCCACAGTGGAGGTAGGGTCAGCAGCTCTTAGCAGTGGTAGGGTCAGCAGGGAGGGGATCAGGCGCAGGGGGCGGGGAAGCAAACCATCAACATGCATAGCCAGGGAGTGCCCATCCTGGCGCTGACCTGTCAGGTGCCGTCGGAGGTCGACGAGCCGGGCGGCGAAGTCGATCGCGTGCCCCTCAGCGTCCAAGCGAAGAACGGCGTCCGCCATCGCACAGTGTGACAGCGGCACAGCGGCTTAGCGGCGCAGCAACTCGGCGGCTCGGCGGCGCGGCGGCTCGGGGACACGGTGGCACGGCGGCACGGCGGCGCGGCGGCATGGCGGCTCGGCGGCTCGGTGGCGCGGGTGCTCGGCGGCTCGGGGACACGGCGGCTCGGCGGCTCAGGCGACGAGGCCGGCTAGGGCACAAGAGGCAGGCTAGGGCGAGCGGGGCCGGCAAGGGCGCGTGGGGCCGGTGAGGGACGCGTAGGGGGGGGCCGGTAGGAGCACGAGGGGCCGTAGGGGCGCGAGAGGCCGGCTAGGAGCACGAGGGGCCGGTATGGCCGCGACGGGGCCGGCTGGGGGCGCGAGGGGCCGGTAGAGGCGCGACGGAGCCAGCTAAGGGCGCGAGGGGCCGTAGTGGCGCGCGGGGCCGGCTAGGGGCGCAATGGGCCGGTAGGGCGCGACGGGGTCGGCTAGGGGCGCGACGGGGCCGGAAGGGGCGCGACGGGGCCGGCTAGGGGCGCGACGGGACCATAGGGGCGCGACAGGGCCGTAGGGGCGCGACGGGGCCGTAGGGGCGTGACGGGCTAGCTAGGGGCGCGACGGGGCCGGCTAGGGGCGCGAGGGGCCGTAGGGGCACGACGAGGCCATAGGGGTGCGACGGGGCCTTAGGGGTGCGACGGGGCCTGCTAGGGGCGTGACGAGGCCGTAGGGGCGCGACGGGGCCTGCTAGGGGCGCGACGGGGCCGTAGGGGCGCGCAGGGCCAGCTAGGGGCGCGAGGGTCCGGTAGGTGGCGGCACGGGGTGGAAGCGGGTGGGTGGACCTACCTACTCGTGATACCATGTTAAGACTAGAAAGAATGAATAGAAGAAGGGAGAACAGGGGAGATATAGCATTTGGGTTGTATTGTACCCACTAAGAACATACCCTATCTAGCCTATAGCTTCTCCATAACAAGGTATGTATAAGTTGACAACCCACTAAGAACATACCCTACCTAGCCTAAAACTTCTACGTAACAATGTTAGCTAGGCGAGATACTGTTAAGAAAGCTCCAATTGTACACGGTTTGAAATCTAAATTATTATCGAATAGACGGAGGTGTGACAACGACCTAGCCTGCGAAGTGGAACAAATTTTGGGTAAGCATGCAAAGATGGATAAACATGCCAAGTTAGGTGGTGCAAACAGCACAACCCAGATCCCCCCCTTCCCTTCCAGCGCTGACAAAACACAAGTTTCTGAAGATACCGCTGCTGATGCTGCACTCATATTCCACTGTCCCACTCCCCAAAACACAAGCGGCACCAGCAGCAACGGCAGCGGCAGTGGCAGCGGCAGCAGCAGCGGCAGCAGCAGCGGCAGCGGCAGTGGCAGCAGTAGCGGCGGCGGCGGCGGCAGCAGCAGCAGCGACAGCGGCACTAACAGCAACACCAACCCACCACTCCATCCAAGCAACCCCTACCACCACCAGCGCCCGCCAAAGGTGAGATTGACACCCACACCGAAAGATGTAACTCCTTGGAAATAACCCCACAGCTGCTGGCTGCGGTACTGACCTGCTGCCCATAATGCTCCTCAACCATGATTGCTCCTCAACTATCAAACCCCACTAAAGCACGGGCCTACCACAAGGCCCAAGCGATTGCCTAGTCTCCCTTCATAGTCACCCCTTGTCACTCCCACCTCCCCCCATCCCCACCTCACTAGAGCCCCAGCGAATCCCCTCAGCCTTCAGATGCCCTCAGCTACCATTTCTAAGGTCTCACTGGGGACAAACGGGACTGAGTTCCCACCCATTGCCCCATGTCCGCTTCACTAGTGAGGGACCATGAGAGCAGGGCAGCAGCAAGCGGCGTAGCACAGAGCAGGAGGGGCATCGTTGCCCTCCTCTGCCACGCCCCGCCATTGCCGCTGCCGGAGAGGTGCCTCTGCCGCTTGCCTTCCCTGCCTGCTTAAGCTCTGCCGCACCCGCAGCACCTGCTGCCCCCCTGCGCCCCCAGCGCCCCCCTGCACCCCCTGCGTTCCCCTCCACTTCCTGTCCACCGAGCGAGGAGCAGTTAGTCGACCTTGAGGTGCAGCTTGAGGAAGTCGTACACCCAGTAGCTCAGCGCGGCGGATGGCAGCACCTGTGAGGACAGGGCGGAAATGGGAGGGCAAGAAGGAGGGGGAGGAGATTGTCAATACTGGGGAACATACGAGATTGCCAGAGACTGGGGGGAAGTAGTGTAGAATACTGACGAGTACTAGGAAGAAGCTGGGGAAAAAGGATGTACGCTTGGAGAGGAAGGGTGAACGACGAAGGGGAGGGCCGTTTCAGTGTATTCGCGAGCACTGATGGGATCATTACCGGCCAATTGTCTCACACGCTAGAGCGTCCTACCACGGCAATTTCACTTTGCCGGCTTCAGAAGCCCGTCTCCGTTCTGTGCCGATCAGCACTCCTGCACTCGGCCATACTAGTCGGACTTTCTCAAGCTGTGAGCTGTTAGCGGCAGATGAGGATCTTACATGGGTCCGTTAAGAAGCTTTGGAAACTCTAACGACTGGGTAATAACGGGGACAGGTGGAAAAAATTGGCTAGCAGGAGGTCAGACTGTTGGTACCTCCTTCTCTGGGTTTACCATCTGGTACACTACAAACCCAATTCCCCAAATCATTCCAAATCCTTCCCAAATCCTTCCAGATCCTTCCAGCTCTGCACTCACTGATCTGGGCAAGCGGACACAGACAACTACTTGTGTAACTCTTATCTAAAACCGTTTTCCCGTACACCGTTAATTCGACATTCGATAGAGTGGCACCGCTGGTCGTTGTAAGAACATACCTGAAGCAGGCCGGGCACCATGCCAGCGTAGAGAGCCGAAACGCCTCCTCTCTGCACCACCTCTTTAAGCACCCTCATGGCTCCCGCCTGCTGCCCCGCCACCGCTACGGATCCCTCAATACCGCTCATCTGCATCTGCCGCCGAACCACCTCGAGAGGATAAGTAGCCAGCTCCGACACCACCCCTGCTATCGCCCCGTACAGCAGCGTCCGCATCGGGCCCAGCTCCTTCCGAACCTCCCCTTCCTCTACCGCAGATAGATCTGTCGTGTGAGACGCGTCAGCTTTCACCAGCGTGGATACCCCGGCTGATTGGGAGGCGGATGGAGACGTAGTTGATGTGGAGGGTGTGGAAGGGGTCGAGGGGGCTCCAGGAAGGGCTAGTTTCCCGGAAGGAAGGAAGGCGATTTGGTCTACTACAGGGAGCTTGGGTTTGTCCCGGGACTGGAGGTGCGTGGTTTTCATGAAATCATAAGCGGCGTAGAAAATCGCGCAGGAGGGAGCGATACTGTAGACGGCGGGCCAGATGCCTCGATATAAGCCGAAGAAGCCCTGCGATTTGATCATCCCCGTTAAGCAGCCGGCCAGATCCGTGCAGGCGATGCCGCCCTGCGCGATCATCCTCGTCCTCACCTGAAGCAGGGTAAGACGGTAAGGGCGAACTAAGCTTGGTTTAAAAAGACGAGGAGATAGCTAACTCGGGATTCGGAGGGTTTCGGAGGCCTGAGGGGAATCAGGCCTGCCTAGTGGTTTAGGAAAGGAGGAGACGATAAGCAGTGGAACAGGTGGATCGGAGGTACTAATTCGACCATTAACAATGATGGTCAAAGCCCGCTGGAATGTGTACCCGCCGCTTTCGACGGAAAGCAGCGCTGTGCCTACTAACTAAGAAGCGGCACTCACCGTGTCTAGCGGAAAGCAGGCGAAGGTGGCAATCACGCCGGCGACGGCTCCTGCGGAGAGCCGCTCGACGTTGTTGACGTCGCTCTTCTTGGAGAAGTCGAGGATCTTTTGCCGGAAGATGTCGTACATCACGAAGTTGATGGTCTTGAACGGCACGATGCGCAGCAGATTCACGCCGTTGCCCCGCCAGAACCCCATCATCCCCTCGCGCGCGAATATCCGCCGCGTTAGCTCCGGCACGTGAGCTTGCGCGCCGCAGACCATGTACTCGAGTTTGAGACGCTCCAGCGGAGCGACCGCCGATCTGAACGGAGGAGGGCGGGAAACAAGGCGATGAGTGTCTAAGGGTCGGGACCGCAACGGAGATTGAAGCTGAAGCATCAGAAAGGGAAGAAGAAGAAAAAAATTGTGAAAGAATGATAAGCGGGAAACTGTCACTGATGGAGAGCACATCGACACGTAATTTACGGAGCAAGGTTGGAGTGCAAGGATCCAGTACCTCACCGGGGCGGATCCATAGCCGCAACACCAGGCGCATCAACATGGATCACAGATCCCCTCACCTAGCGACGACGGAAGCCGTAGCTCCGGCGAAGATGTGCTTGACGGTCTTCAATCCGCCATCCTCCTGGAGCCGGCTCCACGCCCCGGCAATGTTCTCCCGGCACTCCTTCTGCGCGTTCCCCCACGCTTCACCGGCCCGTTGGACCATCGCCTGGCTCTGAGCCGCAACCCAGTTCTTCGCCTTCCGTAACTCAACCTCTGGCTTCCATCTTCTAGTCAACCCACTTCCAGACTTAGCTCCGGCCCTGGTTCCCTGACGGATCGTCTTCTCATCTGTTTCCCCGACGGCGGCTGGTCGTGTAGCCGGCCATCTGTCAATTCTGACGTCAGATCTGGGTCGAGGAGGGTCCAGTGGGACCGCATCGATGCCCCAGCTGTCGACGACGTCGTCTAGAGGGAGAGGCGTGCGGAGCGGCATTGCTGCTGAGAAGCTCGCGTACTGCTTCCGCGCGTGAGGGGGGTTGACGCACGGCATGCGGAGCGAGTTGGTGTGAGCGCCTCAGGGGGTAAGTGGGACGGAAACGCGTCGTCGGATAACGGGGATGTAGGGCTGACGGAACAGCGGGTCCAAATGTACAGACGAATGCCCGGACGATCGCCTTGTTACGAAAGCAACGAGCCGATCCAACCCATTTTCAGTGGAGATCTAGACGGCTACGGTTTCTTGGCAACCGGACGGAGTGAAGAAGGAGCTTGATGATCAGAGGCTGGAGAATCAGAAGCTGGAGAAACAGAATAAGAGGTGGTCTGGTGAAGCAACACAACCAGTCTCACCAAATGGAACGCAGGGATGAAGAGGAGTGAGGTGCTGGGTGGAATTCGGTGGAACAAATGGAGGCGAGTGACGTTGAACTGTAGCGATGATCAGGGAGAGTCCCGCTGATTGAAATTGAAATCCAAGACGGTGGCTGGGACTACAGAGGACAGTGCAGAATGACCTGAGAATAAGAGGGAGGGAGATGAAGGGGATGGAGCAAGGAAAGGGAGATACACCTAGCCCGCGGTATTTTCACACCCAATAGTTTTACAGGAGGTGCCGCATAGAGGGTATTTTCCCCCCGAAAGCAGCTCCTGAAGACCAGATCCGGATACCCCTGAAAAACAATATGAGCTTAGATTTCTATACGAAACGCACTGCTCGATTTAGTGTATCTCGAGTCAGGAAATCCGACGTCAGCTTAGGCAGTGCGCAAAGTTTTTGCCCGCGTGGAGTCTGCTAAGCTTAGGCCGTAGGGACAAGGCGGTACTGTCTACGCACTCAGAAATGGTCAGGGTGGAAACAAACGTTTTTTTTTTCCGCCCAGTTTCAGGGTGTGAAATTACCACGGGTTAGGTGTACTCGAAATAAGGGGTGCTCTTCTGCTTCCTGGTCAGGTGGGAGGAGATACTTTGCCAGGGAATATGCGAACTTCCGCGATCAAGAATACGATTGTAGGTTCGGTGTTGCCCTTACAGTAACGCTATGACGAAATCGCGACACCTTTTCGGGCAAAGACTTCAGGGCGGGCCAGACAGTTCGCTAGCCAATGCGCGAAACACAGGCTGTTTAGTTTGTGGAATGAACGGCGGTGACCAGAACTGGCTAGCTCCAATCAGGAGCTTCGCAAGAGACAGACCAACAAGGCCGAGGCTGGGGCGCTTTCTGGGGCTCGTCAGGCCAATTACTACTGGCGCGCGGAACGAGGAGCCAACCAGACGAAACCAAAGAAGCGGCAGATTTGAGAACGAGCGGTAACCGCACGCAAGTACCCCCGAACACGGGTTTCCCGCGATCGACAATGGGACTCAGGTTTCCGCACGTACTGGTTCGCTGGGACCGAACCACGCCCACAGGCTGGGGTGAAGCTGGGATATACATTAGTGGAGACCAAAACAGCGCGCGGGCAGGGAATGGTGGGACGAAACGAAATCGAATGAGAATCACCCCTGCCCACTTTACTTTCTGGGGCAGGCACTCGAAATGGCTGCGAATCTTTTGGCTGAGCTGGCAGGTCTTCCACGTGGCGCTGGCTCTTCCGTTCGAGGGGTGTGGCTATGAAGATGCTTGTGTCTACGCAGCGTGACTTTCAAAATCTAGTCTTGTTGTTCATGTTCCAAGAGCGCCAAAGCACTCCGCCTAGCATGCTCGCGAACAAAAAACCGTGTTGCAACGACATGCTAATAGCGAGTCCAGACTAAAATATCTGAATGACGGTGAGTGAACAGAAACACTCAACTTCCATAGACAGCCCGAGTGAACACGATACTTTCACATAATTAAAAAATCACATATACAACATTAAGCTCACACATGGTCTTCACCTAATTGAACCAACCGTACGTCTTAATGAATTGCCCCCTTAGCGCGCACTTGTTGCCGTAATATGAGATAACGGCAAAATGACCTCGCGGATTGTTCATGAGCTTGTATGCTGGGGAGAACGTGTACAAGAAGCGAGTGAGGTAGACGACCTTCCGAGTTGCATGGTAGCTGTACAACTTAACCTGCCGGTTAATGGGGCCGCTTAGGGTGCTATTCTTCCAGTTCATGATGAATGGCGGCACACGCACGTCTGCGCTGTCAGGAGCCGTGAAACGACTGCCAATGTACACTCCATATAGAGGGAGATTGCCGTTGCTGTAGAGGTTGCTGGCGCTCACAAATGTCCGCACCTCGTAAAGCAGCCCATCGCTGTAGAATCATAATACACAGTAAGTATACGTCCCATTGTTTGAAGTGTACTGAAAGGGTTAAAATTAACATACGAATGGAGCTTACGTGTAAACGGAAATGGTAGCTCTTCCGTATCCGAGCAACGTGCCGCCGTTGGGGCCTCCAGCGAGATTGAGTCCCGTGAGAATGGCCGTCGCTCGCACTGCTCAAGCCACCAAACAACCCCAACAGAGAAACGAGGAGACTCCGCGCATGTGAAGGGGCGAGAAACGGACGGAAAATCATTTGATAACTCCTTCTAGGAGGATAAGGGCGAAGGATGAGAGTCTACGAGTTCCGTGGCGGACCTTCGCTTGATCAGTAGAATAAGCTTTAGACTGAACGCGTTTCTGGAATGAGCATGCACATGGGATGACGTGTGGGTGGAGACTGAGAGCCTGACAGGGTGCTCAGAGCGACTCACTGAGCAGCGTTTTCGAGGAAGCCACGGACGCAAGGGCGCCTGCCGTCAAAACGAGGGCAACGGGCGTTAGGGCAACGGCCAGGGGATCGAGAACTATAGGAGGACATGCGACTCTTCAGATGTGGAAAACAGTTTTGAGGCCCCTCAAAATTTGAACATTAGGAGGACATGCGACTCGCCAGATGTGGAAAAGCTGGAATGAAACAGGTCGACTAAGCCAGTCAATGAGGAGGTGCTCACACAGAAATAGAGTGGCAAGAATAAGACGACTTTTGAGTCGACTCAAAAACGGCGCTCACATAGAATAAGAGTGGCAAGAAGAAGTCGACGCTTCTCCATTTCGTGTCGAGACGAGCGACAGGAAGAATTTATTGACCTATGATAGTAGCCTCTCAACAAACGTTCTTCAGAAGTCAGCTACTTGGGTGGGCGCCAATTTGAAACTTCAAATGTTATGTCTAGAGTGCTGCGTACAGAATGGACCAGGGAGTGCCGCTGAGAGCTATCAAACATGACTGGGAATAATAAGGGGCCAGGGGCAAATATAGCAAGCCAGCCACTGAAATGCCCCGCGGGTGGAAACTAGGCTGCATCTGTCGACGCACTGTAGGATGCAGGCAGTAGGCTTTCGGCGGGCAGGCAGCGGCTCGTAGGCTTGTGGTGGAGTGATCTATCCGTACAAGGTTCATCCGTATCGTATATAAAAAAAAACATTCCGACTGTAAGGCCGCGTCACACGACCCTGTTTTCCAGGGTCGACAACAGCGAACTGACGTTTCACCGTAATGAAAACCTCAATAGTCTACGCAAATCTCTTTCACAAACCTGTCATCCCCGACCTTGAGGGTCCGCAACCCTGGAAAACAGGGTCGTGTCGTGTACCGCGGCCTAAGACACGCCTGTGCTGTGCAGCTGGCTCGAGAGGGGCAGGATGAATGAAGAATTCTCACTGTAATTTCTTACCCCTCTCGTCCTCACTTACACTCTCTAGCATCACGGGCGGTTGAAAAAGGGGTGGTTGGATTGGATGGGATTAGATTAGGGGGGAGGGAGTACAATGGAGCTACAAATCATATGCCTTTTACGCCCGCGAGTATCTCATAGGCATTTTATCCTTAATAACCTCTCCTTGTAAGCAAAGTGTACCCGTGTCATGTGAACAGTTCTCATTACAGTCAATTGGCAACATTTTTCGAAAGCCAATCAGTGTTTTCGTGCGACCATTTTCAATGGCAGGCGATCTGACACTGGCTGTTTGTGTCAGAATCGTCAACCAATGCTCGGAGCCGAATACACATCACTTTCTGGAAAATCCAACAACCACTAGACCAGCCATTTATGTTCCTCCACGTTTGCCCCACAAATTGTGTGAGTAATGTTTGTACAATTGGGGGCCTGTTTTATATCACTGTAAAATGAATCCGGATGCGCAACCAGGACTGGTCACCGCTCTCGTCGATGTTCGCCTACCCCGTACATCTGCGATTCTCTCAAATGTAAACGTATTTTCCTTGTTCTTGATAGAGCGCATTGAATGCTGTGTGGAATCTAAAACTTAGCCATGAACCCTGAGTTGACGCGCGTGCGACATGGTGAGCGACACCTGATCGTAACAAACGCCAACACTGCCGACCATGAACAGTTAATAAAATACAAGCAAAAAACATTTTGCGACACGCCAGTGTCCCGTTTGCCCGAGCATATTCGATGTACGCGAAATCCCCCGAGTCGCTCCCCGGGCTCTCAGGGCATATGACCTGTAGTCTGATTTGCGGAGTAGAGGGCAATGGCAGTTGCCTGCAGGACTTAGGGCTTGGTACATCTTTTCCGAACCAGGCCTGGAGCTCGAACTTGAAAAGTAGTTGTCCACGTTTCCGTGTGTTTTGGCCAGTTTTACTACGTTTCCGCGCGGTTAGCGTTCGAACTTCACCATTTTCCGAGAAAAGTACCACGCCCTTAGGACACCACAATGCTAAACCACACAATTTACTCCACCTTCAAAGCTCTCCCCTCAATGTACCTACTTACACATTCTCCCACCAAATTCCAATAAGCACACATCTCATAAGCCATATCTTTAGACCATGAGACGCTATATTTAAGCACACGCAAATACAACAGAAAGCACTGGTAAATGGTATTTCCTCTAATTTAAAAAGCCATAAGTCCTGATAAATTGCCCCCTTAACGCACACTGGTTGCCGTAATAGGAGATAACGGCAAAATGGCCTCGCGGATTGTTCATGAGCTTGTATGCTGGGGAGAACTTGTACAAGAAGTGAGTGAGGTAGACGACCTCCCTAGTCGCCTGGTAACTGTACAACTTAACCTGCTTGTTAATGGGTCCGCCCAGGGTGCTGTTTCTCCAGTTCATGATGAATGGCGGCACACGCACGTATGCACTGTCTGGAGCTGTGAAACGGCCGCCAATGTACACTCCATATAGAGGGAGATTGCCGTTGCTGTAGAGGTTGCTGGCCCTCACAAACGTCCGCACCTCGTAAAACAACCCATTTCTGTAGAATCATAATGCACAGTTAGATTATATGCCATCGTATAGGTGTACTGAAAGGATTATAAAATACACGACCAATGGAGCTTACGTGTAAATGGAAATGGTAGCTCTTCCATATCCGAGCAGTGTGCCACCATTGGGGCCTCCAGCGAGATTGAGTCCCGTGAGAATGGCCGTCGCTCGCGCTGCTCAAGCCATCGAACAGCCCCAACAAAGGAAGGAGGATACTCCGCGCATTTGAAGGGACGAGAAAATCACAACGAGAACTCCTAGGAGGATAAGGGCGAAGGATGACAGTCAACGAGTTCCGTGGCGGACGTAGAATGAGCTTTAGCACGAGCTGAAGACTGAAGCGCCTTTCTGGAATGAGCATGCACATGGCATGTGTGGTTGCTGACTGTCAGCCTAATGGGGTGGTCAGAGCGACTCACTAAGCAGCACTTTCGAGGAGGCCATGGACGCAAGGGCGCCTGCCGTCAAAACGAGGACAACGCGCGTCAGGGCAACAGCCAGGGGATCGATCGAGAACAATAATGGAAAAGCTGTGACATAGAGCCACGCTTGATGTGGAAAAGCTGGAAAAGCTGGAATGAACACTCCATCAGGAAAGCTGGAAGACTTGTGACGACTAAGCCAGTCAAACGAGGAGGCAGGGGATGGAGAACCATAGGAGGACATAGTGACATGCGTGATGTGGAAAGGCTGGAATGAACCTTCCAGCTGGAAAGCTGGAAAACTTGTGACAAGTCGACCAAGGCAGTGAAATGAGGAGGCAGGGGCTCGAGAACAATAGGCGGACATGCCATGTGGACAAGCTGGAAAACTTATGACAAGTCAACTAAGGCAGTGAAATGAAGAGGCGCTCACATAGAATAAGAGCGGCAAGAATAAGTCGACGCTTCTCCATTTCGTGTCGAGACGAGCAACCGGAGAATATTATTGACCTATGATAGTAGACTCTCGGCAAAGCTCTTCAGAAGTTCAGATACTTGGCCAGGCGCCTATTTGAAAATTATGTATGGGGGAGTTCCGGTTACAGAATGGACCAGGGAGTGCGGCAGGGTTCTCAAACTTGACTGGAAATAAGGGGCCAGGGGCAAAAAAAAAAAAAACATTCTGCGCTGAAATGCCTCGCGGGTGGGAAGGGAACTACCAGCCCAGTAGCCTGTATCTGGCGACACAGAAGGCTATCGGCGGGCTGGCGGCGGCTCGTAGGCGTGTGGCGGAATGATCCATCTGTACAGGGATCTTCCGCATCGCATAGAAAAACAATCCATCGCACAAACTTTACAACCAATGTGAGCGAGTTTCGTGAGACACGCCTGCGCAGTGTGCAGCTGACTGGTGGAGGGCAGGATGAACGAATGAAGAATGGTCACTGTTACAACCTAGCCCCTCTCTCCTCACTCTCGCCAACCCAAGGACCCTTGGGGCGTGAAACATCTGAAAGTTTGAACAGTCAGAGCGGTACAGTAGTTTTAACAACGGTCTTGGAATGCTTAAGTAAGGACATTGCGTGCTATAGTACGGTTAAAGTTCGGACAGAGGCTGTACGGCATCCCAAAATACCAGGATCAGAAATACGGAGTAGGTATACAGTAGGTACAGCATAGGTACGTCTGCTACGGAGTAGACTTGCTATACGAACAACTATACCTACAATATAGGAGAGATCCACATTTTTGTGACGGGAACTGTATGCTTCATCCCCAGGGTGCTTGGGCTGGGGAGTAGGGACTCTCGAGTGTGTGAGATAGAGCTGGTCCGATTTGCAGTGCAGGGGGGAATGGCAGTGTTCGACTTTTGGTCGGTGGGGTGGCGCTTCGTAACGGATTTTCGGCGAACCTCGTCGTCAGTGGTTCGTGCAAGACTTCGCGCAGCTGGCGAAGGCATTTGGCAACAAGAGGAATACACTACTTGCGTTCTGCTTCAACCAGAAACGAGTCCTGTATACGAACATTGTTATTCATTCCACAAGGATATACTTCAAATAAAAAGAGACTTCTTAAGCTAGATTGTACCAGAAACTTGCTATAAAAAACACGGCAATGGTAAACCACACAATTTACTCTACTTTCAAAGCCCTCTCCTCCTCCGTGGGTCCCCTATTTTCACCACCCTCCCCACCACTAGCAACAGCAGCAAGCGCCTCGGGAGTCTCCTCCTCCGTAGCAGAAAGGACTGGTACAGCCTTAGAGCCCAGGGCATCCAGGGGCTGCATCTTTGGGCCGTTGAAAATGAGAGCAGTGCATGCGAGAATGTGCATACCCACTATAAGGCAGCATTGGTACCCTATAGCCTCGGCCACCTGCATAAGAATGTGCACAACAGAGGAAGGTATATATGCCGTGAAAAGGGGAAGGACAGGAAGGAGGGAAAGGAGGGGGAGGAGGAAAGATGGGAGGGTGGGTAGCGGGGTCAGGTCAGGGGAGTAACGAGAGCCCAGGAAATGGCATCTATGTTACGCTTGCATCCATGTTACGCTTCAATGCTCACATTGTACGAACATGCGTTACAAACACCATGCGATACAAGGACCGTGCTATTGAACTGCCATGAGACACAAGGTCCGTGCACGCAAAACCAGAGGTACCCTCTGCTTGTGAATGATTCAATACAAGCACAACAATCAAAAGCTCAATCAAGCAGCCAATGACGGAGAATAGCCATCCCACTGAAAACGTTTTCAGTAGAAGCACCCCCCTTACAAGCACTCACGGTGTAGTTAGCAATAGAGAGGTTCTGGAGAATCTGGTCCCCACTCGGGCAGGCAGGAGAGCAGCTAAAGGTCAGACCTGGGGTAGGTGCGGGGAGAGGAAAAGTTGCAGCATGAAAGTGTAAGAAATTGGGCATGCGTGAAGGAACATCCAAATGCAGCGGAAAAAGCGTAACACGGTAATGGGAACACAGAAAGGCAGAAAGGGAGAGAGCCAGAACGGAGGGAAGGGACAGGGGGCAGAGGTAAGGCAGGAATTGACTGGGTGCAGATGTTAGCTTCCAATCAACGGGTGCTTCGACTGGGGAAGTCCAAACCAGGGAAATGTGAAAAGGGGAGGAATAGGCAGGAATGGAAAGAGACAGCAAATAATATTTTTGTAGGCAGGCCACAGGTGAGAAACGAGCAGGTGAGAAACAGGCTGGTGAGAAACAGCCTACAACCCAACGCAGCAGACATGAGACACACTCAAGACGTGTCTCACCAGAGAACTGGTTTTGAGTCGACTAAAAAAGTCTTCAACACAGCAGAGCAGAGCAAAGCAACCCCTTCAGGACACGCTCAAGATGTCTCATCTGAGAAGAACTAGCTGGCGGCCAGGCCAACGAAGCCGCACTGGAGTCTATTTTTGAGGCGCCTAAAAAATAGACACAAGACACGCTCATGATGTCTCATCTGAGAAGAACTGGCTGGCGGCCAGGCCAACGAAGCCGCGATGTAGTCTATTTTTGAGGCGCCTCAAAAATAGACACGAGACACGCTCAAGATGTCTCATATGAGAAGAACTGGCTGGCGGCCAGGCCAACGAAGCCGCACTTGAGTCTATTTTTGAGGCGCCTAAAAAATAGACACAAGACACGCTCATGATGTCTCATATGAGAAGAACTGGCTGGCGGCCAGGCCAACGAAGCCGCGATGTAGTCTATTTTTGAGGCGCCTCAAAAATAGACACGAGACACGCTCATGATGTCTCATCTGAGAAGAACTGGCTGGCGGCCAGGCCAACGAAGCCGCACTTGAGTCTCTTTTTGAGGCGCCTAAAAAATAGGCACGAGACACGCTCATGATGTCTCATATGAGAAGAACTGGCTGGCGGCCAGGCCAACGAAGCCGCACTTGAGTCTATTTTTGAGGCGCCTAAAAAATAGGCACGAGACACGCTCATGATGTCTCACATGAGAAGAACTGGCTGGCGGCCAGGCCAACGAAGCCGCACTTGAGTCTATTTTTGAGGCGCCTCAAAAATAGACACGAGACACGCTCATGATGTCTCATCTGAGAAGAACTGGCTGGCGGCCAGGCCAACAAAGCCACACTTGAGTCTATTTTTGAGGCGCCTAAAAAATCGGCACGAGACACGCTCATGATGTCTCATATGAGAAGAACTGGCTGGCGGCCAGGCCAACGAAGCCGCACTTGAGTCTATTTTTTAGGCGCCTCAAAAATAGACACGAGACACGCTCATGATGTCTCATCTGAGAAGAACTGGCTGGCGGCCAGGCCAACGAAGCCGCACTGGAGTCTCTTTTTGAGGCGCCTAAAAAATAGGCACGAGACACGCTCATGATGTCTCATATGAGAAGAACTGGCTGGCGGCCAGGCCAACGAAGCCGCACTTGAGTCTATTTTTGAGGCGCCTAAAAAATAGGCACGAGACACGCTCATGATGTCTCACATGAGAAGAACTGGCTGGCGGCCAGGCCAATGAAGCCGCACTTGAGTCTATTTTTGAGGCGCCTCAAAAATAGACACGAGACACGCTCATGATGTCTCATCTGAGAAGAACTGGCTGGCGGCCAGGCCAACAAAGCCGCACGGGATGGGCAAGCGGTAGCGCAGTGCGCACCCATCGGATTGGATCCACAGAGGAATGGAGTCGAGGTTAACCAAGGGGGGCTGTCCGATCCAGGCAGCACACGAGATGGACGGTGGCGAGTGAAGCTAGAGTCAAAAGGGGACAGAGCCAGCTCACCTGAGACCTGTTTGACTGCCAGCCCCACGAAGCCCCACTGGATGGGCGAGAAGTAGCGCACCCATCGGAACCAGTGAGCTGACTTATGAGTTGACTAAAAAAGCCTTCAACGCAACGCAGAAGGCACGAGACACATTCAAGACATCTCACCTGAGAACTGGTTGACTGCGAGCCCCACGAAGCCCCACTGGATGGGCGAGAGGTAGCGCACCCATCGAATCCACACAGGAATGGAGTCGAGATTCACGTAGAAGCCGCCAAACAGCATGAGCACAACCGTGAAGAGCGGGCCCATGGCCAGGGCGATCTGCGGCGTGGGCGCGATCGACCCGATCTGAGGGTGATAGATGGGATTGAGCAGGTAATTAAGGGGAGAGGGAGGAGAGGGGAGGACAGAACAGCATGAGCACGGCTGTGAAGAGAGGCCCCATGGTGAGGGCGATGTGGGGCATGGGTGCTATTGATCCCATCTGAAGGGGGAGTAGAGGAGAGAAGTGGGGAGAAGAAGGGAGAAGGGGGGAAGAAGAGAAGGGGAGAGTAGAAGAGAGAAGATGGGAAAAGATAGTTGAAGATAGGTGAAGATAGGTGAAGATAGGTGACGATAGGTGAAGACTGCATGAGCACGACTGTGAAGAGAGGACCGATGGCGAGGGAAGTTTAGAGGGGTGGGGGCTACCGACTGTATTTGGAGTGCATACATGCACGCACGCACGCACGCACGCATGCACACACGCACACACACACACCCACCTATGTACATACATACCTGCCTACCATACATACATACACAACAACACATATACATATACTTCTCGATTCGTACAAAGCTTACCACAATACCGAGTCCATTCATAGCGGTGAACTCGAGCATGGAGATGACGAGGAAGAGGAAGAACTTGGAGGCGACCCGCTGGAACTGGATGGGCCAGTAGGCGATCAGCCCAAACACGATCACGGGGCCGATGCGAATGGGCCACTCCGAGAGAACCTTGGCGGGGTAGTAGGCGGTCACGCGGTAACTGTTGGAGGAGCGCTCGCGATTGATCACGCCCTTTTCGAGAGGGAAGGTGGTGATCATCTGGACAGATTGGGGGGGAAGGAAGGTGGGATGAAACAGGGAGTTTAGCAGGGGCTGTCAGTTCAAGTGTAAGGCCCGTCCTCCTTCCCGCCTTGGGGCTCCTCCACAGTAGGCGATCAGCCCGAACACAATCACCGGGCCGATGCAGATGGGCCACTCAGAGAGCACCTTGGCGGGGTAGTAGGCGGTAATGCGGTAACTGTTGGAGGACCGCTTGCGATTGATCACGCCCTTTTCCAAAGGGAAGGTGGTGATCATCTGGATACATCACGGGGGGGGGGGGGGGGGGGAGATCGGAAGGCGGGTTGGGAGGGGTGGGTGGGTGATGGTGGTGCGTACCCGGAGTTACATACATGGGAATTGGGAAGAGCGTACCTGGAACATCCTGTTGAATGCGAGGAAGAGGGCTATGAAGAAGAGTGAGCCCGTCATGTTCTGCTGTGGGCTCTCGTTCGAGTTGGAGTAGAGGATGGAGATCATCACCATCATCACCATCTCCACCATCATCACCACTATCACCATCACCACCACCATCATCATCATCATGCGTCCCCAGACCAGGCCCACAACCATGCCCTTCAAAAGCCGCACCTGGAAAATCCCATTGAAGGCCAAGAAGAGGGCGATGAAGAATAGCGAGCCTGTCATGTTCTGCTGTGGGCTCTCGTCCGAGTTGGAGTAGAGGATGGAGATCATCACCATCATCACCAGCGCCTGTACGTACGCGATGATGATCGGCAGCCTGTCCTGCGTCACCTGCCAGCCAGCCACAGGGAATTTTTGAGTCGACTCAGAGATCATCACCATCATCACCAGCGATTGCACATACGTTTTGAGGCACCTCAAAACTAGACTCAAAGGTCATGACCATCATCACCAGCGATTGCACGCACGCAATTATAATCCGCAGCTTGTCCCCCGTTACCTGCCAGCCAGCTACAGGGGACCGCACACGCGTGTTAGTAATTTCGTTTTGAGAGGCGGTCCAGGAGGTAATTCCATCATTAACAAACACAACCGGCACGCAGCTTATATCCCTTGTTAGTTACGTTACCTGCCACATAGACCGCCTCGCCAGCACTGCAAGCTGTGTCAGCCACGTGCTCGCATACTTGGAGTATCTCATCCCTTCCGCCGCCTCTGCCTGCTCGTCCATACTCTTCTGGTGCAGGTCCGGCCGAACCTCCCGCGAAGGCTCGTAGCTTCCAGCCAGGGTCTCGATGCGGGCGACGCTGTCTGTCTCTCTCTGCTCGTCGCGCCGGTCCACAGAGATTATGTCCATGAAGTAGTCAGCTGGGTTGAAGTGCTCCGGGCAGGTGAAGCCGCGGCGGGCGAAGTAGTCGATGGAGTCGGATGCTGCGCCAAAAAACACCATTCTCCCTTCACTCAGCAGCAGCAGGTTCTCGAACTGTGGGGGGATGGTGGGGAGGACAGAGAGAGGGAGGAGCGAAAGAGGGGAGAGGGCGAAGGAGTGAAAGAGTGAGGGAGAGAGAGGAGAGCATGTGAGTGAGAGGCAGTCCACAGAGATCATGTCCATGAAGTAGTCGGCGAGGTTGAAGTGCTCGGGGCAGGTGAATCCGCGCCGAGCGAAGTAGTCGATGGAGTCGGAAGCCTGCCCAAAGAATACCATTTTCCCTTCGCTCAGCAGCAGCAGGTTCTCGAACTGTGGGGGACAGAGGGGAGGACGGAGAGAGGGAGAGAAGTCTATTTTTGAGGCGCCTCAAAAATACAGGGGAGGACAGAGAGAGGGAGAAGTCTATTTTTGAGGCGCCTCAAAAATAGAGGGGAGGACAGAGAGAGGGAGAAGAGAAACAGGGGAGGAGGGGGCGAAGGAGGGAAGGAGGGAGGGAGAGAGAGGAGTGAGTGTGAGTGAGAGGCGGTCCACAGAGATGGTGTCCATGACTTCGGCGGGGTTGAAGTGCTCCGGACAGGTGAAGCTGCGGCAAGAGAAGTAGTCGATGGAGCCAGAGGGTGCACCGAAAAACACCACGCGGTCTTCACGCAGCAGAAACAGATTCTCAAACTGCATGGGGGAAAGGGGGCGGACAGAGGGGGAGGCGGGAAAAAGGGGAAGGACGGAGGAGGAGGGAGGCAGGGAGGGGGAGGGAAGGATGGGTTTCGGCTGGTGGATGGTGGAGACGAGACGACGGTTCATGCAGCGACCAGCCGATACACCCACTTACAAGGGCGAAGATGGAGGATCTCGGCTGGTGCATGATGAATGGAGGAGATGGCAATGCTTACAAGGGCGAAGATGGAGGATCTCGGCTGGTGGATGGTGAAGACAACTGTTGATGCAGTGACCAATGTACCCACCACCACCAACCCACTCACCAGGGCGAAGATGGAGGATCTTGGCTGGTGCATGGTGAATGGATGGCAATGCTTACAAGGGCGAAGATGGAGGATCTCGGCTGGTGGATGGTGGAGACGACGGTGCGGCCGCTCTTGGAGAGGTCCGAGAGGGCGCTCATCACGTTGAGCGCCTGGAAGCTGTCCAGCCCGGACGTGGGCTCATCTGGGGGGGGTGGTGGGGGGTGGGGGATGGGAGAGAGGAGAGAGGGGAAACAGGGAGGAGGAAAGGGCTTATGCTACAAGCTGAGCGCATGGAAGCTGTCCAGCCCGGACGAGGGCTCGTCTGAGGGGGGAAAGAGAAGGGAGGGGGGGGAGGCAGAGTCAGACAGTGCACAATTGGCGGAAGTGGGGGGGCAACACGAGCACACAATTAGCCGCCACACAACAGATGCCAGCAGCCCAACAAAAACACCGAGGAACACGAGCGCGGGGTTTAATAGCATCTCCACCGCAATGTTTGTCCGCTTCCGCTCCCCGCCGCTCACTCCCCGAATCATCTCATTCCCAATGGGCGTGTTCCTCGCCTTGGTCAACCCCAGCTCCGCAATGATGGACTCGGCGAGCTGCAGGCGCTGCGCTTTGGGCGTGGAGGAGGGGAGGCGCAGCATGGCGGCACGTCACACTCACTAAGGGAGACACCAGCAACCGGACTCACCAAGAAAGACAAGCGAGGGGTTGGACAGCATCTCCACCGCGATGTTGGTCCTCTTGCGTTCACCCCCGCTCACGCCCCGAATCATCTCATTCCCAATAGGTGTGTTCCTCGCCTTGGTCAACCCCAGCTCCGCAATGATGGACTCGGCGAGCTGCAGGCGCTGCGCCTTGGGCGTGGAGGAGGGGAGGCGCAGCATGGCGGCGGTCTGCAGCGTCTCCCACACGGTGAGCGTGCTGAACATGAGGTCGTCCTGCATCACGTACGCCGAGATCCGCCGGAAGCTCTCGTCCCGCGGCCGCCCGTTCACCAGCACCTGCCCCCCCAGGGAGGTGGGCGCGCCAGTCCGCATGACCCGGCCTGCCAGCACGTTCAGCAGGCTCGTTTTGCCCGACCCTGGGGGTGAGAGCCAGGGGGAAAAGGGGAGGAGGCAGGAAAGAGTTGGGGTCTGGGGTCTGCAGCGTCTCCCACACGGTGAGCGTGCTGAAGATGAGGTCGTCCTGCATCACGTACGCCGAAATCCGCCGAAAGCTCTTGTTCCTGGGGCGGCCGTTTACCAGCATCTGCCCCGCCAGGGAGGTGGGCGCGTCTGTTCGCATCACCCGTCCCGCCAGAACGTTCGCATCAGCCCAGGCTATTCTTACCGCAACCTGGGTGGGGGGGCGCAGGCGGGGGGAAATTGGGGAAAAGGGGGAAAAGACTCGAATTGGGGGGCCGTGGGAGGAGGGGCGCAGACCGGCTTTTGAGGCGCCTCAAAAGTAGACTCGAATTGCCGGGCCGTGGGTGGAGGAGCGCAGACCGGCTTTTGAGGCGCCTCAAAAGTAGACGCGAATTGCCGGGCCGTGGGAGGAGGAGCGCAGACCGGCTTTTGAGGCGCCTCAAAAGTAGACTCGAATTGCCGGGCCGTGGGAGGAGGAGCGCAGACCGGCTTTTGAGGCGCCTCAAAAGTAGACTTGAATTGCCAGGCCGTGGGAGGAGGGGCGCAGACCGGCTTTTGAGGCGCCTCAAAAGTAGACTCGAATTGCCGGGCCGTGGGAGGAGGGGCGCAGACCGGCTTTTGAGGCGCCTCAAAAGTAGACTCGAATTGCCGGGCCGTGGGAGGAGGGGCGCAGACCGGCTTTTGAGGCGCCTCAAAAGTAGACTCGAATTGCCGGGCCGTGGGAGGAGGGGCGCAGACCGGGGGGAAAAGGGGCGAGACTCGTCTTGAGGGGACGTGGGAGGGGCAGATGAAGAAAATAACCGGGTTTTGAGCCGACTCAGAAGCTACCTTTGCAGGGGGATAGTGAATAGGAGGAAGAGCAGAGTAAGAAGGGAAAATGAACGGACACGAGGGCCCCATGATCGCGAAGAACGTGCCCGCTTTGACGTAGCCCGTGAGGCTGTCGAGAGAAGTAGTACGTGGGGGAAAGCTGGGGCACAACGGAAAGAAGGGGATAATAACTGACCTGAGGGGCCCATGATCGCAAGGAACGTGCCCGCCTTGACGTAGCCCGTGAGGTTGTCGAGAATAAGCTTCTGCGTCTTCGCCTTCCCTCGCCCCAGCGTCACGGTGTACGTCACGCCCTTGAACGCCAAAGACACCGGGTGGAAGCGGGTTCCGGGCGCTGAGGCCGCCGCCTGGATAGTCGTAAGGGGAGAATGGCAGGAGGAAGGAGATTAACAGACCGACCGTGTACGTCACGCCCTTGAGCGCCAGAGACACCGGGTAACAACGAGTCCCCGGAGCAGAGGAGGCTGCCTGGGAATGCTCAAGATGGTTATTCCACAGAGGCCTTTCCTCGCCCCAGCGTCACTGTGTACGTCACGCCCTTGAACGCCAGCGACGCTGGGAGATAACGAGTTCCTGGTGCTGCCGCAGCCGCCTGGAGAGCATTCAAGGCGAAATCGACGAAATGGAAATAGCTTAGCTTCGGTTGTTCCGCTTAAAAAACAGAACGAAGAAAACGAGCAAAAAGGGCCAGGAGGTTTACTAAACGCGTCAGCGAAACGAGTCTATTAACACGGCCGGAGTGTGAATGTTCGATCCGTATTACCTTCGCGTTCGCTCCGACTTGGAGTATTACCTCGAACATGGTTTCTGTTCGCTTGGACTCATAAGTTACCTCGAACATTGTTTGCGTTCGCTTAGACTCGGAGGCGTCAGGCGGAACGGCGATAGTATCTTCCGCGTTAAGCGGCACGCCTTGCTCGACGTCCATCGGCGCGCCGTCGCTGTTGTTAGGCACTTCCCCCATCGCCGCGCCTAAACCCATTCTTCCGTCAGCTTCAATGCCAGACTAAAAAAAAAAAAACACTCTGTCCGTATAATATACTGCAAGAGTGCAACTTTAGACAGGAGAGGAAGCTAGGCGGAGGCGACACGAGCAATGCCACCAACTCTTTCGCACCACCAGTAGGGTGATGCCGTTGACAGTACTAGATTAGGTGGTTGGTGACACTCCCTAGGTGCTTTGCAGGATCAGCTGACACTGACACAACGATTTACTGTAATATATGCAGAATATTCCGCGGGGTAAGGGAAGAGGAGTCGCAAAAAAAGAGCAGCCAGCCATTGGCTGATTGATCCGCCGTGAGGTTGACGAGCACCGCGGCAACTTTCAGGGCCTCTCGTCTCGTCAACTGTTACAGCGCTGACAATCTCTAGGGTACCAACCAATGCGAGCCGAGGCTGTGCCAGCGGGCTTAGCGAAACTCTTGGCGAACTGAAAGGCTCAAACAACCAGTCCCGAGGCTGTTGCGAGCAGGAGCAGATAATCCAGATGGACCTCCAATCGAGGGAGGTAACTCCAACAACACCCATGGTCTTTGACTGCCACTGGCGAAGTGTAGCGATTTTAGTGTAATCGCCAGAGCCGCCAAAGATAAGACGCGAGGCGCATTGTCCCTGACGTCAGATACGTGCTGCGAGGATTTCTCGCACGTGATTGGCCAATCAGCGCACGTGCTGATTTGAAACCCAAGAGCCAGAAAGAACGTGGAAATGCAAAGCAAACGCTGCTGACGTCACCAAATCTTCTCGAGGATTGCTTATCGGGCCCGCCCTCCAAAATTTGTAAGCACACGGAACAGAAGTGCATAACTAAGCTGCTGACGTCACGAGCCAAAACGTAACATGGCCTTAGATTTCAAGAAATTGTATAGCCTGCCTGTCCCAAGTTTTAGAAGCCTATCTTTATGCAACCACTTCAACAATGTTGTGCAGGATATGCTCACTTTGCAACAAACCAGGATGGAGGTATGACGACAATCAAATCAGACGGCGAACCCCATCTCCAGAAAGAAAGCCCAGTCAAACAGAGATGGGAGCATAACACAACAAAGGGAGCACAGCCACATGCACAGGCACAGGAAGGGGAGGGAAAGGGGGCAGACTCGAGGCAGACAAAACTGATGAGCCATGAAAACAAGAGCTGGTCTTGAGTAGAGAACCTGCTTGTACCCTGTAAAGCGGCACTGCAAAAAGAGACGAAAGTGGACGCAGCCAGTGCGCTTGTGCCTTGCTTGGCCTGTCTGCAATGCATGCCTGCTCTGGCCTTAGCGGCAGCGAGTGGCCAACTGCAGCGAGACACCCATATGCTGGAGGGAGGCAAACACATGGAAGAGCGCACCGGGCAGAAACGGAGAAAGAAAAGAAAAGAAAAGAAAAGAAAGAAAGAGAGGGAAGAAAACAGGAAAGAACGAAAGGGGGGCAGGGGGAAATGGCAAAAGCAGGAAGGAGAAGTGGTTGTCAGAGCTGGGAACTGATGGCAAATACTCCCGGTACTCCCAGCAGGGAGTCTCCCAGTAGTCCTGCTAAAAGCAACGACTGCCCCGCGGTAGGATGCCTGGAGAATCAGTGAGGGATGGAGGGCAATCAACTAACACCTCAGGGTTCTCCAAACAGGACAAATGAGATGTGGTTCTCAAATGAGTCATAAGACGTGGCTCCCTCAGCTTCGCCGCACACCTGTTATAAGAGTCATAAGATGTTACACCACTTCTTTGCACGAAGTCATCTCAAGCATCTCTTTCAGCATTCAGGTGTCCCTGCCTTTCTGAAGCACACAGGCTGCTAAACGATATCCCCGTCAGCCAGTGGCCTATGAGCCCGGCACTTCGGAGAAAAGCAAGAGCCACAAAGTGCGAAGGAGCAGAATGGAAGTTTCAGCAGAGGAGTTCTTTCTGTCTGATTCTTGACAGGCGTAGAGCCTGGCGCTTGGTGATGCCTCCAGTTGCTCCAAACGCTTGACAGGCATAGAGCCTGGAGCCGGGCCTAGCTCTATGTTGCCTCACAAGGTTGGAACAAACCTTGGAAGTATTGCTGCCGTTTGCCAGTTGCCAGTTGCCGCGTCACTCTTCCTCCTCCTCCCCATAGTCGACCAGGGTTGTGCCTCCCCTGGCTGCTACGGAACCTGGAGTCGGATTTGCGGAACCTGCACCTGTGGCACGGGAAGATGCTAACGGCAGGAAAACGACGTCGAAGAGAGAGGAGGGAGGAAAGGTTTGTTAAAATGGAGAACACGGTATCGTTACAGAGAAGGCAAACCCTGTTAAAATATCGTGGCTTACATAGATCGAGCTACTTGGCATACTACTTAGCCTTCGATACAAACAATAGTCCCAAATCCATCGTTACTTACTACTGGCTAGAGCAATCACAGCAACACCTTCAGCACACAACTCAAGCACCGAAGGCGTTAAGGCACTCAACATCAACCTCCTCCTCCTCCACCTCCACCAACCAAGGGATGTACTCACCACCTAAGGCATTAAAAGGACTTACCGTTTTGCCCTCCCGGTCCATTCGCGCCGAACCTAGGCGGCAGCTTCGGTGGCGGCGGGCCCATCACCGACCGAGCCTGAGGTGGAGGCATGGAAGCGGACTGATTCGGAGAGAACGATCCTCCTGCTCCATACTGCTGCTGCTGCTGTGCCTGCTGCTGCTGCTGCTGCTGTGGCTGCTGCTGCTGCTGATGATGATTTGGCTGATAGGTGGAGTACGATCCCCCATACGAGCCATATGAAGATGTGTAGGTGCCTGCTGCACCCACTGTCCCACCACCACCATTAGCACCAGCCCCAGCGCCAGCACCACCGCTGGCACCACCGCTGGTACCACCACCACCACCACCACCGCCGCCTCCCCCGCCTTCCCCCCCCACCTCAGTCACCTCCCTAAACTTCCTCCCCTTACCAGAGCTACCCTTTCCGCCCCCTGCCGCTCCCCCCACCCCCACCTGCGAATACAGCCCCCCATACGCCGCATACCCCGGCCCCGACACCCCTCCCCCCCCACCCCCTTCCTTCTCCCCTTCCCCACCCCCTCCTCCGCCTCCTCCCCCTCCGCCTCCCCCCCCTGCCTGCTGCTGCTGCCACTCGTCCCGGATCGTGTCAATGAGGCTGTCTGCCAGTTTCTTTGCCTCGGCCATCTGTGCAGCAGAGGAGCCATCACTGGCAGTCAGAGAGATGTGCAGCGGTGCATTCAGCTCTGCAAAAAGGGGCGAAATGGGGGAAGGGAACAGAAAAGGGGGGGAGTTGGAAAAATGAGCTAGGTTGCTCCTCCTCCCCCTCCGCCCCCTGACTGCTGCTGCTGCCACTCGTCCCGGATCGTATCAGTAAGACTTTCTGCGAGCTTCTTTGCCTCAGCCATCTGTGCGGCAGAGGAGCCGTCAGGAGCAGTCAGGGGAATGTGAAGGGGCGCGTTCAGCTCTGCAAAAAAGGAAGGGGGGTGGAGAGATGAAGGGAGGGAGGAAAAGGACGCTTTCTGCAAGTTTCTTAGCCTCTGACATCTGTGTTGCAGAGGAGCCGTCACTGGCAGTCAGGGGAAGGGAATGTGAAGAGGCGCCTTCAGCTCTGCAACATGGAAGCTATTTTTGAGGCGCCTCAAAAATAGACTCCTCACGCAGGGGAATGTGAAGAGGCGCGTTCAACTCTGCAACATGGATGGAAGCAGGGGGAGGTGGCGGAAATGGGGGGGGGGGGGGGGGAAGATGTGGAGAGAGAAAGGGTGGAGGGGAAGCGCAAGGGAAGATGAGACTTTCCGCGATTGATGATTGATGACCCTTTCCCCATTCCGCACTTTATCCAATCTCAACCATTGATCTTATCTCGGCCATTGCTCTTGGCTCACCTTCGCCGTTGATCTCGTGGTTGTTGGAGCACCGCCCATGCAGCGTGGCCTTGATGCCTGTAGACGTGGAAATGTGCTCCAGATACGAGTCCTGCCAGTAGAAGGGAGGGAGCAAGGGATGCGAGATCACTTTTGAGTTGAGTTAAAATTGCTTGTAGACATGGAAATCTGCTCCCGGTACGAGTCCTGCCAGCAAGAACAGGGAGAACGGGATGCAGGTAAGGAAGCTTTGATTTTGAAGCTTACGCGACTTCTGAGCCGACTCAATGGTCACCGCGTGGCCTTGATGCCTGTAAACGTGGTTATGTGCTCCGGAAATGAGTCTAAAAAGAACGGTGGTGAGGGAAACGGATGCAGGGAATCTAGTTTTGAGGCGCCTCAAAACTAGACTCCTATCACGCGGATTTTGAGGCGCCTCAAAATAATTTAAAATAAAAATAAAAATAAAAATACAAAAAAAGGGAAACGGATGCAGGGAAATGCTATACTCTGTGGGACACCAATCCTCCCAGCAGCATCAAAGGACCCAGCAAACCCAGCAAACACCAGCAAGACGTTGCTGCACCCAGCACACGCCACCTTACCCGCACCCAACACTCCCAGCCCAGCCCCTCCCTCCCCCCCCAAAACACAAGTCCTCTGATCCTCCCAGCAGCATCGAACCCCGCAAACACCAGCACGACATTGCTCCCAGGCACCGCAATGCAAGGCACACACCTACCCTACCCAAACCCCCCTGAGCCACTCACATTTGGCCCTCGAATCCTCCCAGCAGCATCAAACTCTCGGGTCGGTTCGAACCCCGCAAACACCAGCACGATGTTGCTGCCAGGCGGGATCGACCCCGCAGAAGCAGACGGGGCGGAATACCCCTCTCCGTATGGGCCAGGCGCACCCCCACCATAGGCCGGGGGAGGTGCACCCGGGGGAGGGCCATATGGCGAGGGAGCAGGATACGCGCCGGGAGGATAAGCGGGCGGCGGGTATTGTCCAGGAGCAACAGGAGGGTAGTCACCCGGGGGCGGCCCATACCCAGGGGCAGCAGCCTGGGGAGGATAGCCGGGGTACGGCTGAGGCGGGGGAGGGCCGTAGGCGGGGTCATAGGTCCCTGGAGGGGGGGTGGGATACGACCCTGGTGGGCCCGGGTAGGGGGGTTGGCCAGGAGGTGGGTAGGACCGGGAGGGTAAGCGGCAGGCGGGTAGGAACCCGGAGGGTATGACCCAGGGGGGTAGGATCCGGGAGGGTAGGAGCCAGGGGGGGCGCCGTATGGGGGAGGGGCTCCGTACCCTTCCCTAACCCTCTCCCTGTCTCTGTCTCTGTCTTGATCCAGATCTCTATCCCTATCCCTATCCCTACCCCTGTCCCTCTCCCTATCCCTGTCCCTGTCCCTCCCATAGCGATCCCTATCCCTGTAACTGTCTCTGTCTCTGTCTCTGCTCCTATCACTCCGATCACTCCTCCCATACGGCTCGTATCTCCCTCCCCCTCCCCGCCTCAAAGTCCCGCTCATGCCTCCCGCCCCCGCCGGCCCTGCTGTCGCGGGACGATCTCGACCGGTCGTCGCGCCACGGCGGACGGCCGGGATCGGCCCGATCGCGCTGCGGCTCGCTGGCCTGCTCTCCTGGCCGTCGATTCATGATGTCGTCAATCATGCGGACGGCAGCGTCCACCATCCGCTGCTTCTCCTCTGGGGTCTTCGCCTGGGGGAGATGGGGGGGGGGGGGGGGGGGGGAGGGGGAGAAGGGGGGTTCGAGGGGAGAAGGCAGGGAGTTTGGGGTTTATATCTCACTGCTTCCACCATCCGCTGCTTCTCCTCTGGGGTCTTCGCCTGGGGAAGGTGAAGGAGGGAGCGGCAGAGAATGGGGGGAGGGGAGGGGAGGGGAGGGGAGGGGGGGGGGGGGGGGGGGGGAGGGGGGAGGGTGGGGGGGGTATATGTATGAAGTTTGGGTTTAGAATGTGTTGGGACATGCGAACCGTAGCGTCCACCATCCGCTGCTTCTTCTCTGGGGTCTTCGCCTGGGCACCCAGCAGGGCAGAGGCGAAGGAAAAAGGCAGAGACAGGTTGCTTGCAGATCACAATGGTTCACTAAGATGTCGGCCGATTGTGCGCACACTGCAGCGTCCACCATCCGCTGCTTCTCCTCTGGGCCTTCGCCCCCACCCATGCTATCGCCCCCACCCATGCTATCTGGGGTCTTCGCCTCCTTGTTGCCCCCAGGCGAAGAGCCTCCGGAAGAGAAGCAACGAATGGTGGGAAGCAACGAATGGTGGGAAGCAGCGTTACATGACGTGGGATGGACTGAGGCACGCATGAGGAGACTCGAGGGCAGGCGCGCTGATTATAGCAGAGCGCGGGGGAGCACGATGCACGATGCACGATGCGCGATGCACGATGCACGATGCACGATGCGCGATGCACGATGCACGATGCACGATGCGCGATGCACGATGCGCGATGCACGATGCACGATGCGCGATGCACGATGCACGATGCGCGATGCGCGATGCACGATGCGCGATGCGCGATGCGCGATGCGCGATGCCGATGCGCGATGCGCGATGCGCGATGCACGATGCACGATGCACGATGCGCGATGCACGATGCACGATGCACGATGCGGTGCACGGTGCACGATGCACGATGCACGGTGCACGGTGCACGGTGCACGGTGCACGGTGCACGGTGCACGGTGCACGATGCCGGTGCGCGATGCACGGTGCAGAGCGCGGGACACGTCTGACGGGGCGTGAAGAGCGAGGGAGAGTAAGCGGGGCGGGTGGGCTGCTAGGGGGGCATGAAGCGAAACCTGGGGGGAGGGGCGGCATGCGTACCTCGGTCGAGGGCGTCACATGCAGATACAACGGACGGTCACGATTCTTGGGATCGTTCATGTTGCAGAATTTGCCCCTGCGTTGAAACGGATTCAGGCACGGAAGGAAACCAAGGGGAGAGGGGGAAAGGAGATGGGGGGGGGGGGGGAGGAGCACGGGGGAGAAGCGGGGGGGCGGGGTTGAGGGGAGAGCGGGGAAGGAGTGGGTTGAACTTGAAAGGTGGGGGCGTGATATGGAGGAGAGGGCGGGGGCGTGATATGGAGGAGAGGGTGGGGGTGTGATATGGAGGAGAGGGCGGGGCTATGGGGAGAGGCATGCGCGGTGGTCAATGGGTGGAAACGTGTTACATGGTGATCTTTCGCTAGAAACGATCAGCATGTGAGCATGTGAGCACGTGAGCATCTGAGCATGTGAGCATGTGAGCACGTGAGCACGTGAGCATGTGAGCAAGTGAGCATGCATACCTTGTGGAGATGACAGCACCTGTCTTGCGGTGAATCTGCAACCAGGTATTCACCACATGCACACAAAAACAATAAAACCGATCCACTTTTTGAGTCGACTCAAAAGCAGTATTCGCCACATGCACACAAAAACAATAAAACCGATCCAGATTGAAACGGAACGAAAATCAGTTAGCAGGCGTACAAACGACGAGGCACACGTGCTGAGGAATCGAGTTTTGAGGCGCCTCAAATATCCACGACCTCGTTAGATCGACCCTCTGAACTGAACCCATTGACGACGCTGAGACACACAGCACGTGGGACACACAGCACGTGGGACACACAGCACGTGGGACACACAGCACGTGAGACACACAGCACGTGGGACACACAGCACGTGAGACACACAGCACGTGGGACACACAGCACGTGGGACACACAGCACGTGGGACACACAGCACGTGAGACACACAGCACGTGAGACACACAGCACGTGAGACACACAGCACGTGGGACACACAGCACGTGAGACACACAGCACGTGGGACACACAGCACGTGGGACACACAGCACGTGAGACACACAGCACGTGAGACACACAGCACTTGAGACACACAGCACGTGAGACACACAGCACGTGGGACACACAGCACGTGAGACACACAGCACGTGAGACACACAGCACGTGGGACACACAGCACGTGAGACACACAGCACGTGAGACACACAGCACGTGGGACACACAGCACGTGAGACACACAGCACGTGGGACACACAGCACGTGAGACACACAGCACGTGAGACACACAGCACGTGAGACACACAGCACGTGAGACACACAGCACGTGAGACACACAGCACGTGAGACACACAGCACGTGAGACACACAGCACGTGTGACACACAGCACGTGAGACACTCTGCTGAAATCCGCAGCGAAGCCGAAGTGAGCAGGTAACGCCCATTAGGGTTTTGAGGCGAATTTCGCAAGAGGACAAGGCGGCGCGCATGGGCTCACATCGCCCAGCGTCCCGACAGACAACTTGGGGTTTCCGATGTGTCAACAGCAGGCAGCGCACGCGTACTCACATCGTCCTGCGTGCCGCGGCGCGTGAGCTGGAACCGAACACTAGGGCTACACTCGTTACTCATCCCCTATTCTTGAGCCAACTCCAGACGCACCTCTCATGCACACGGCACGTAGCACACAAGATACCAACACCACACGCGTACTCACATCGTCTTGCGTGCCGCGGCGCGTGAGCTGGTACCGCACGTTCGGGTTACACTCGTTAATCACCACCTCTCTAACAATCTCCTCCGCCAGCGGTTTTCCCGGCGGCCCTGCCGCCGCAGCCTCCGGCTTCCGCTGCACGCCGATCCCGCGCTTCGCGAGCTCTTCGTTCACCTGCCGAGCCATCATCTCAGCCCTGGCCTTGGCGTCGTCCAGGTTCGGCACTGCCGGACCTGGACCTGCCGAGCCAACATTCAGGCCCGGGATCTGGCCCGAGAGCATCCCCGGCATTCCCAAGAGAGAGGTTCCGGTGGGGACGGGTTTTCCCGCCGCCGCTAGCGATGCGGCGACGGCGGCCGCGGCGGCGATCGCGGCGGGGGAGGTGCCGGAGGGGATTGTGGAAAGAGCTGCTGCCGCTGCTGCTGCCGGATCGGCTGCCTGGTCCCATTTGCTTCGCTTTCTGAACGGGTGGGCGAAGAAGAAGAAAAAAAAAAAAATGAAAGGGGGGGGGGGGGGAGGGGAGGGGGGAGGGGGGGGGGGAGGGGGGGAAACCAGAAGATTGGGTCAAAAGGATGGAAGTGTTTTGTTCAGAAGTGGGAAAGAGAGTAAGAGGGTCTAACGTCGCCAACGCAAAAGCGATGACGTCGCCCCGGGGGGAAATAGACAAATAAAACTTGTGAGATAAGCCATCTTAAAAACACTGTAAGCAATCACGCATTCGGAGCTTCAGCTGGCAACGCCAGCACAACCGATCGGCGACGAAAGCGAAACATAAGGAAACGAAAAAAAATGGGAGGACAAAAAGGCGCGACGAATAGAGAGAGGGGACGCATACGGGAGACCTGGAGAGAAATAGCATACGCACTTTTCTGCGGAAGAGTCCGCCATGGTTGTGTGATGTGGAGAATTACAGAGACTGCACAAAAGCCAACAGAATACAAGTGCCTGATGGTGGAGGAGAGCAGTCAGATAACCCCAGTATAAGACGATTCGTTCCATCATCGGTTTCAAAACAACGTGTAACAGTCTTACAATCTATACGGATCGGTAGCACCCATGGGAACTCCGCGACCCTACCGAACCGTATAGAAATCCTAACTTTTACTGGGACGGAATGTGTGATATGGAGCTCACTGTACACGAGCTTCGTGATACACCGCACAGTTCAGTGTATGGAGCTCACTGACGATGGGAAAATGCGTTTTACGGTGAAAAAGCACCGTAAGATGTTCATCCTCGGTACAAGCCTGACAATTTCGGTCTCCGATTTTCAAACTCAATTGCAGAAGCACCCAACCTGAGCCAGCCAATGAAATTCCAAGCTTGCGAGAGAAGCTCATCGCTGCAGCCTCGCTGCGAAATCTCCCTGATGTGTCGTTTAGCTGTTGTCGCGTAGCCCAACGGCTCGCTGCAATCTGATAAGATAAGCGGTTGCGGGCACGTGGAAAACAAGCGCCGTTGCGTCGCGGCTTGCCGAAACCACGTGCATTTCAGCTGAAGCATTTCCATTCCACAAACCACCCAATTCCCGGCCGACCATCACAAGCTGCCCGAATCACCATTTGCGGAAATACCAAACCCCGAATCGCATAATTCTGGCGGGAATCTGTACCGTACATGTCGCTCGAATTTCCTCACCAGCTTCTCCCCAGCAACAGCCCATCTCCCCAAGGAAATCCGAAGCTTCCCTTTCTAGAATCGGAAGGTGGCTCCGTCGCATTTTTGCTGACGACCGTTCCGGCGATGCTGGTGCGCCAAACCAACTGAGAGGAGGAGAGTGGCGCGCCCCACCTCCTCCCCCGCCCTCCACCCCTCCCCCCGCCCACCCCTCTTCCCCCCTGTAAGTTCCACTTCTCCACTCCACCTCTCCCCTCAAGTTGCCACTCTGTTCCTTCCATCACCCCTCTCCTCTCCTCTCCTCCCCACCCCGCCACTGTGGCGTCGCTTCGCTGCTGGCTGTGTGAAGTGAGAGTGAAATCTCCACCGCGCTCTTTCTCCCGCTGTACAAATGCAGTCAGCTTCATTGGTGCTCATCAGTCTTTGCAAACGACTAAGCTCCCGAGTCCCGTCGTCCTCCTCGCCCCCATCCACCAGTCTCCCCGCCCTCGCTCGCCGCGTTGACAAGCTATAACTCCCGCGCGTTCCCTCTTCTCTGCTAAACTGACATCTCTCCGCCGCGTTCGGCGCTAGATGTCCTTTTAGCTGAGCAAGCAGACACGATCCCAGCCCCCTTCTAGACACTGTAAAGAAGCAGGTTCATAATCTGATCCCGTTACTACTACGGCTGTCGTCGCGCGATCTCTTCTAATGGCAGCTGTTCGTGCATCCTCTCACCCGACCGTTACCATGCCTTTCGCTCATCCGCCCTTCGCCCATCTGCCCGTCGCTCATCCGCCCGTCGCTAATCCGCCCTTCGCCCATCTTCTCACCCACGACGCCAGAGGCAACAAGGCGCTGGGCGACGCGTTGGCGACGGCCGAGCGAGCCATCGCAGGCCTCGTCCAGGTCGTCGACGTCGTCAACCGTCGCCAGCAGCACGCGGCGTCGTCGCAACTTCAAGCTCAGTCGCTCGCCGCTTCCCCTCCGCCGCACTTCACGCAATCCTATCGGCCGTTGTTGCTCCACAGCAGCAACGTCGCGCCCGCTGCTCTTCAAACCGCCACTCTCCAACGTCCCGTGACTTCCGCCGCATCTCCCGCCGCATCTCCCGCCGCATCACCCGCTTCCTCCGCCATCTCTCAGTTCTGCGCCTCCTCCTGCCCACGTGTCGCCGCTCCCCGTACTCTCGCCACTTCAGGCTCGAAGCGCGCGCACAAAAGCATCGACGGCGCGGCGGCGCCAGCAACCAAACCCGCTCGTGCGGCTAAGCGCTCAAAGCGCGCCAAGCTCCCCGGCGCAACCCCCGTCTCCCCTCCGCCCCTGCTCGTTCCGTCTGTCGGCTCCGACTGCGAGTCGGAGGGTGACTCTTCGCCGAAGAGCGCGCCGTCGCCGTCGTCGCAGGCGGAAACTGTTGTCGCAGGAGCCGTCGCAGGAGCCGTCGTGTACAAGGGTGTGCGACAGCGCAAGTGGGGCAAGTGGGTCTCGGAGATCCGCGAGCCCAACAAGCGCGCGCGCATCTGGCTGGGGTCGTTCGACTCCGCGGAGGACGCTGCGCGCGCCTACGACATGGCCGCGCGCCTGCTGCGCGGATCCCAGGCGCAGCTCAACTTCCCCGGGGATCAGATCCGCACCGTTCCGCTTCCGTCGGCGACGGCGGAAGCGCTGCTGAAAGCGAGCCGAGAGGCTTCTAAGACGTTTGATACGGCCGACGTTGCTGACGTGCTGGAGCGATCGCTGCTCGCTACTAACGGGGCTCTTCTTGGCGCGGATATTATGGTTGAGCTCCCGCCACAGAATGTATCTTCGGCTACAGCTGCTGCTGTGATAGCGACGCCGCTAGCAGCCGTTGCTACAGCAGCAGCCACAACTGAGTTGTATGGATCGTTCAAGGCGAATCTGACCACTGACGACGCGTTGAGCCCACGATGCTGTGGATCGCTTCTGGAAGCCATCCCGACCGTCGATTCTCCTCCGGCGCCGCCGAGTCGCAGCTCCAGTGACGCCAGCTTCGCTTATAGCGAGACTGACAGTATCGAGTCGCTGCTGACGGATCTGGAGAATCATGGCAGTGCTGAGTTGGCGCTGACGGAATCTGAGCTGTCACTGGACGGTGGGAGCCTGTTCCAGGGTGTTCTAGAGGATTTTGACATGGCGGCTGCTGCTGGGGGCGTTGTGGGGTTTGAGGGTGCTGCTGCTGGCTTCAGCATGGACCTGTGGGCGTGAAGGTACTTCCTGTGAAGGTACTACCTCATCTGAGGCTGCAAGGGGGTAGTGCCCCCTCTGCATGGACCTGTGGGCGTGAATATGGATGCTGAAGCTGAAGGTACCCCCTCTGCTTGATGGAGGAGGAGCAGGGGAGACCTGTGGGCGTGAATATGGATGCTGAAGCTGAAGGTACCCCCTCTGCTTGATGGAGGAGGAGCAGGGGAGACCTGTTGGCGTGAATATAGATGGGGTGGGGGGCAGAGGGGGTTTTTGCTAGGTAGGCTTCGTTATTAAGGTTGGGCTGGCTTATGGGCTGGTTTGGCTGACGGGGGGGAGTATATGGCTCACACGCTGCAGAGCAGAGCAGGTTATCATGTGGCTCTGACGACTGAAGAGAATCATGGTGGAAGCACAGCAGGCAGGCCGCAGCATAGAGAAGGGACCCCCCCACCCCACCCACACCTCGTTGCATGATGGTGCATCGTGTCTCTTGTGGAGTGGCAGCAGAATAGATGGTGCCTTTCGTGTGCACCCTACGGATGGGGCTGCCTTTCCTGCACCCCCTCCCCTACACCTCCTCGTCTCGCCTTGTATGTGGGGTTCTGTGTTGTGCTGTGCTGTGCTGGCTCCATGATTCCGGTCACATGATGCCCTGCATGCTGTAACTTGCGTTGTGCCCCATGTCCATACTGGTTACCGTATCAATTTTGAATGCATTTTTCTTCCTTCTCCCCGTTGTAAGAAATTTCCATTCCTTACTGAGTCGTACGCTAGCGCGTACACTCGACTTCCTCGACTCGTCACGTTCGGCCTCAATTATCGGCCCAACCCTTACCCGAGTCGCGCCCGGCACAGTCGCCACATTGCCGAACCTACCCACGTTCTGAGGTTATCGCCCTAGTACGCCAACTCCTATATAAACTCGTGCCTTCATTGCAATAGGACCTTGTATTCTCACGTTATAGTACATTGACACTTCTTATTTCATAACAGCTGGTATCAGGGCCTGAACTTTCCAGGAACCTTCCGTTTCCCCGTTAATTTAGTTAAGGGTGGTTAGAGGGGATGAACACGGCTGCACAGCAGTTGTCTTCGATCGTAAATATTTTTACGTCAACAACTATAGCGTGTGCGCTAGTTTCTGCCCCGTCCTGACCACCATGGCCATGGTAGACTCGACGGTTGAGAAACAGACGACCTCCACTGCTGCGAACTCTGCCCGGGAAACAGTGGACCTGCAAGCATTAATGGAGCAGTTAAACAATTTGACAAGCGTCGTCAACAACCTCCGCGACGAAAACCAACGACTTCGCCAGGCGCAGGAAAGGCGTTCAGAGGAGCCGGGCGACGATGCACGAAGCGAGGCGGGTGAGCAGCAACCATCGCCAGTGGAGCTGGCACGACTAGCGGCAACAGCCCCACGCTCGACAAGTGGCGGCGTGAGATATCAGCAACCCGCTCCTTTCGACCCAGCTAATAAATGCGTGACAGTGCGGCAATGGATATTCGCCATGAATATCTATTTCAACGCGGCGGGCATCTGAGACGATCAAAAGCAGATCAGCCATGCGTTGACACTGCTGCAAGGGGCCGCCCTACAGTGGCAACTCGCACCATGAGTGGTCCGAAGAATTCGGCGATGAAGACGAGACAGATTTGCTGTTTGGTGCAACCCACATTCGCACGTAGGCAACGTGGTGCGCAGAACTTCGCAAGCGGTTTGAGCATGCTCCTAACTCAGACAAAGCGCGCGAGACTCTACGCATGTGGAAGCAGGTGGGATCTGTGTCCGAATACACCGCGTCATTCTTGACGTTGGTGGATCGATGTGGCTACATGCACGAGTTGGAGAAGGTCGACAGGTACATGGGCGGACTGAAGCCTGAAATACAGTACCAGATAAAATTGCAACGCCCTACGAAGCGGTGACAAGACTTTATCCAGCTCGCCGAAGCCGCCGATTCGCTCACGAAGCCGAGGACGAACTTCTACGACGGAGGTCGCCTTCGAGAACAGTACCAGCGCGCCACGATAAAAGGGATGGACGCAGTGGATATTTACGCAGTTGCTCCGCGAAATACGGGGCTATGCTACCACTGTGGCCGACCGGGTCACATCCGACGCAACTGCCCAGAAATCGTAGCCACTCAAACTCCTATGGGGAAGAAGCCGGAGGAACGACCGGGAAATGAGTCGCGTCAGTAAGTACCAGGCCCTTACTGACAGGCAGGCTTCTTCGCTCGAGCCACACAGTCCCCACCGGGTCGTGATCCCGATTGCTGCAATCGACCGGACGCGGACGAAGAAGGGGGACGAAACTGCTGATCACCCTGTGTTGGTGGAGGGTACAGTCAACGGGGTGTTGCTAAAAATATTCGTGGATGGAGGCGCGAGTCACAGTCTCATACAGCTGGACAGGGCTAAAAAATTGGGTCTTCCCCTACTTAAGTCTCTACCCGAAATTGACGCCCGCCTAGTAGATGGAACACCGCTGGCCGTACGGGAACGAGTGGAGAACGTTGGTTTCCACTGCGGGGAGCACGTAAAATTTCGGATGGGGCTGCTGGCGACTACACTCGACGGATGCGACGTGCTGCTGGGAAGGGATTGGCTGCGACAGTACAACCCGAAGATTGACTGGACGACGGGTGGCTGCAGCATCAAACTCGACGGGATTCATCGCACACTCCCGAAATGGACGGGGCCTCGCATGCGAAGCACCTAAGTCCATGCGATAGCGTTCAAACGTGCGACAAAAGCGAGAGCCGCAGCGTACGCCGTCGATCTTCACGAGGTGACATCGCCGACAACAGCCGAAGATATCGCGAAGCTGTGCGATGCCGTTCCTCCAGATTTAGCGGACCTGATTCGAAAGTATCCCGAGATTTTCCTGGACAACCTACCCGCTGGATTGCCGCTGAGCCGACCAGAGGACCATCGCATCGAGATGGAACCAGGTGCCCAACCGATAGTACAGCGACAATTTCGGCTCAACCAACTGGAACTGGAAGAACTGCAACAGCAACTGGATTATCTTCTCACGAAGGGTTTTATCCGGCCCAGCACGTCCCCATCCGCCGCCCCGATCCTGTTCACCCCGAAAAAAGATGGAGGATTCCGCATGTGCATCGACTACTGCGCGCTCAACAGGATCACAATCAAGTCCCGTTATCCGATCCCGCGAGCTGACGATCTACTCGACCAACTTCGCGGAGCCAAGTTCTTCTCGAAAATCGATTTGTGAGGAGGTTACCATCAAATTCGCGTCGCCGCCGAAGATTGTCACAAAACCGCCTTCCAAACCCGCTACGGCAGTTACGAATACCTGGTGATGCCCTTTGGTCTCACGAACGCGCCCTCGACATTCCAAATGACCATGAACGGCGTTTTCAGGGAACTCTTGGATAAATGTGTAATTATCTACCTCGACGACATCCTAATCTACAGCCGCAACAGGGAGCAATACATAAAGGATCTTGATGTAGTCTTCACGCTGCTGCACAAGAATCGCCTCATCATGAAAGGGTCTAAGTGCGACTTTCTTAAGCAGGAGTTGGAGTTTTTGGGACATGTCGTCTCTACCGAAGGAGTGAAAATCGACCCCAAGAAAATCAAGACAATCCAGGAATGGAAGCCGCCGACCAACCTCAAGGAATTGCAGAGTTTTTTGGGTTTCGTCAACTACGTCCGCCGCTTTATACCCAATATGGCTGGGTTATCTGCCCCACTAACCGACCGATTGAAGGATCACGATTGTTTTTGGTGGAGAGAGAAGCAGCAAGTTGCATTTGACCAACTGAAGATCGCCCTCACGTCGTCGCCTGTTCTCCGCATCTCCGATCCTGACCGTCCATACGAAGTCATCACCGACGCCAGCGACATTGCCATTGGCACAGTTCTCCTACAGGATTTCGGCGACGGGTTATAGCCAGTCGCCTACGAATCACGGAAGTTGTAGGGCGCGGAGAAAAATTATTCAGTCCACGACAAGGAAATGCTTGCGATCGTCCACGCATTCAAAACCTGGCGGTGTTACCTGACAGGCGCTGACCACGGTGCAAACCGACCACAAGTCCTTACAGTACTTGCGAGCCCAACCGAACCTCAACCCGCGACAGATCCGATGGCTCGATTTCCTCAAGTCGAATTTCCATTACACCATCACCTACAAACGGGTCACCAACAATATCGCCGATGCCTTGACCCGACCTACTGCCCATACCGCCGCCATACTAATCGCCCAGACCTGCCAATTATTTACCGGACTATTCAACCACGGCTACAAGATCGACCCGTTCTTGCGCTCTGCTATTCATCAACAGCACGCCACCGCCGCTGGACACTATTTTAATAAGCGCGATACTTCCCGCATTTGGGTACTCGGCTACGATTTACTTCGTACCCTTTTAATACAAGAATCCCACGACAACCCTACTCCCGGGCATTTCAGAGTCGACAAAACTACGAAGACGTTGCAGCGCAACTACTATTGGTCGAACATGGCTGACGACGTGCGCAAGTACGTGTCCTCCTGCACCGCTTGCCAGATAATGAAATCTTCTCACCAGCGAGCAGCCGGACTAGTGCAGCCGTTGGATCCACCCGAACAACCATGGCAACACATCACGATGGACTACGTGCAGCCGTTGGATCTGCCCGAACGACCATGGCAACACATCACGATGGACTACGATGGCAAGCGGAAACGACGCCATCCTCGTGGTCGTCGATCGACTCACGAAAATGATGCACTTCATCGCTTCCCAACAAACAATTACAGCCGAGCAAACTGCTCAACTGTTCATCGCCAACGTCATTCGCTTGCACGGACTGCCTACCGCAATTATTTCAGGCCAAGACCCGAAATTCACATCGAATTTCTGGCGCCACCTGTGGGACCAGTTCGGCACCAAACTCCTGTTTTCCTCTGCCTACCACCCACAGACCGACGGGCAGACCGAACGAGTCAACCAAACTATGGAGCAGCTCATTCGGACTACCTGTACTGACCCACAGACATGGGAGAAATCCATTCCGTTACTAGAATTCGTGTATAACAACGCACCCTCCGTGACAACGCATCAGTCCCTGTTTTTCCTAAATTACGGACAGGAGCCAGTGGTTCCCTCTACCCCGAATATTGAGACACCCGTGCCCCGGTCCGAGAAATTTGCTGAAGACATTCTCGCCGCCAGAGAAAAAGCAGCCGAGGCCATCCGAAAAGCCAACCTGGTCGCCAGCTGACAAGCCGATCGCCATCGACGTGACGTCACTTACAAAGTGGGAGATCTCGTCCTCCTCGACTCTCGCAATTGGCGGCTGCCGATCCCGAGCAAACTCCGCCCCAGATTCTGCGGACCCTTCCAAGTGACGAATATGGTGACACCTGTCACTGCTCACCTCCGACTCCCGGCTGATTGGCGTCACCACCCGGGGTTCCACGTCAGCCTATTATGGCCTTACGTCCCCAGTTCGTTAGAATTGGCGCGCCAACGCGCTATACCGCAGTTGACGCCTCTGCAGGAACCGACAACCGAGCCTTTGAAAATTCTCTATCATCGAGTCACAACGCAGCTGAACCGTCGGATGGTTGATTTTCTAGTCCGCTAGCGCGATCGCACGTCCGAAGACGACAGCTGGGTGCCGCTCGCTGAGCTAGAATCACATCCGACTCTAACAGCGTATTATCAGCGTCGGAATGTTTCCGATGCCCGCGGTCTCGTTTAGGAGGGGGGGATAGTGTAAGGAATTTCCATTCCTTACTGAGTCGTACGCCAGGCCTATCGTTATCAGGGTATTTTGCCCTGATTCCCTGATTTCA